ATCCGGTGGGCAGAGTCTCAAACACTGGACCGCAGATCATGTCGGACACATCGATGGTGCTCGGATGACGACCTAGCCGGGAGGTAAGTGCTTTCCGGAATACGTAGAGTAGACGCACTGGGGTGGTATCCGAGTCATCAGCACACTGCCAGCCACACGGACTGGTGGCCCTGCCCATACGACGGAGGTAGCACTGGAAACAACCATGGCCTGCGTTATGTGGAACGTCAGAGGCACCCACGGACCATCTCCTTCCTAGCCATCTTCCCAAGTCAGGGATGATTCAGCGCGTCTATGCCGCTTTCGAGGTTGCTTGCCATCTAGCCTGCCAGGCACTGATCGTGGCGTTTCTTGTCTCACGTTTYGCCGGGTTCCAATACGGCACGCAGTCGGTACCTGATACTACGTCTCTCCAATCTGAGCAGATCGGTGGGTGGTATGCAGGCAAGACCAGAGGGGGTCTGGTCTTACACGATGTGGTAAGACCCGATCGCCCTCATGGCGGCAGTCCTCTGGGGACGGATCAAGATCGCTCTGATTCTGGCGACATCTATGATGGCGGAGATCTAGACAGGAGCGGCGTAAAACAGCTGACTTTCTACAACAGACACTATCAGCTTCCTCTTCCATTGAGCCAGTCCACCTATATGTTCGGCATAAGCCTGGACAGAGCAGCGGCCAAGCTGGCTGCCTTCGTTGCGATAGTGTTCTCGTGAGCTGCAAAAGTCAGACGCTTGTCTAGAATGACCCCGAGGTACCTGATCTCATTTTGCAATGGGATCAAGTGGCTGTTGATCATCAGTCGGGGTAGGACGAACGTCTATCTCCAGGACAGAATCATCGCTTCACTCTTCTGATAAGCCAACTCCAGGCCCCTCCTCCCAATCCAGTTGTTGATGGCCATTAGTGAGGATTGATTGCGTCTTCAAGTTGCTGTCCAATCACGGCCATTCCCATAACTACGAGATCGTCCACGAAGCCAACGAGCTGCACCCCGGGWAGCATGTTCATTATCAGGAGGRAATCATAAGCGACGATCCTAAGGCTGGGCCAAGAACAGAACCCTGCGGCACTCCGCAGGTCACCAGTCACTCCRCCATCTYTTCGCCAATCAGCAGCGTTCTATCGRTCATCCAAGACTGGAGCATCTCCAGCAGGTACTCATGGGTGTTGATGGGCCTCAAGGCTACGTCAATTACAGCAAACTTAAGGAATTGAAGTAATTTCTGACGTCCAAGGTCAAAAAAACGCAGAAACTCTTCTATCCCGGGGTGGTGGCTGCCTGTGCGGCGATGCTGAATACCTTGCAAATTGCAGACATCTTGCTGACTCCCTTCCTGAAGCAGAACTGGTTCGGGGCTCTTCTCTGTCCCCCGTGCTCGTTCAGATGATCCTATAGCCTTTGGAAAAGTGGAAAAGGAGCCTCTCGAGCAACTTGCATGGGGTGTCCAGCATGCAGATCAGCCTATAGCTAGACGGGACGTCCGGAGGTTTGTCTGGGCCCTTACGGAGCAGCGCCACCCGTGACCTCTTTCAACATAGTAGAAACATCAGCGCGTCGAAACAGTCATTGAAAATGCTGAGGACTGCACCGGGCTGGGCGGATGCGGTGGCCCAGATGATCTCGTYGGAAAACCYCGAAGGTCCGGCAGACTTTCCCGGTGTGAGCCTCTTGACCGCTCTACTGAGTTCTTCCGGCTTGAATCCTGTAATGATTCTGGTAAACTCTATCATGTTCAGCACCGGGTCAAACGCCTGGAAGATGTTGTGCACCACTGGGAAAGGAGGCAAGCTCCAATCAATGACGGGGAATGCTGGGAACAGGAAGTTGGCRATAATGGTCTCCCTGTCYCTGGAGTCCGTGGCTGGGTTACGGGAGCCTAGTCACTTCATTACCAGTTTATATGGTCTGATACAGCAGAATATAAAATAATCTACATAAGTATACATTAAGAGGTAGGATTTATGGTAGTTCCTGTGAAATTYTMGWTATATCTTGTGAAGCACCCCAATGTACTCATGTCTACTCATTACCATCGTTTAATTCTTATTAAATTAATATCCTAAAAATAAAAACAAATGCAATCGCTTTAATTATTATGATGATATATTATATATATATATATACATATATATTATCCGTATTATTTAAATAAACACAAAAATAATAAATTTTAAATAACGATAAGAATCACAAAAACAAATAATAAATTAAAAGTAATAATAAAATCGAACATTTTTTTTAAATACATACAAGATGTCCCGTGAAGATTTACCCATTGCGATATCTCTCAAAATAATGGTGATATCGAAATTCTGGTTTTGTAATAAGACTCATACGGATAAGAACTACAATTATTTCATACTTTAATTGATTTTAATGTTTTGGTAAAAAAGTTAAAAAATATATTTTTTTATTTAATTATTTCCAAAAAAATTGACCATATCAATTTTGTAGAGTTTATTTTTCTGAAAATATTGATGTTTTAAAATTTTATTTT